TGACACTATAGTGTTCCTTTAAGCAAATCAAAGGAACATGATGTCACCATAACAACTTCATCTAAATGAAAATGCTATGATGCCAGGAAGCCCCTGTGTGCTCTCTTTCCTTCAAGGGGTTAAACCGCTCTCAAATGGTTTAACCCCAAAGGCTTCCTCCACCTCCAGGTCGCTCAGTGGTATTCGGCTTCTGAAACGCAGTGTCAGGAAGTGCAGATTGACATCAGGCATGGGTGTCACTGATTGGCTAGAGTGGTCAGCTGACTCTCAATGCCAATCGCTAGTTCCCGGTTCATAAAAATGTTTTACTTTTTTATGAATGGGGAGCTACTGATTGGCTTAGAGTGCCAGCTGACCGCTCTAGCCAATAAGTGACACCCCTACCCGCGGCACCCTGTGCTTCCTGACACTCAGTAAATAAAACTGAACACATTAACACTGATATTTTTTTGTTACCTGGGGAGATGAGAAGATCCAACGTTTCCCTGCCAGGTCCAGGTACCAAAGCCTTATGATGTGGTGTCCAGAACAAAGTGGAGGGTTCACTTCACTTGTTCTTCCTGCTCCAATCTCCTTTTTTTCTCCTTCATTTGACACAGTCTTCTTTTTCTTCTGACACTGTCTTCTCTCCTTCTTGGCTCCTTCTGCTCCTTTACCTGTCTGCTACTTTTTGCTTATTTTGCGCCCTTCTGCTCTTTTCTCTTTCTGATCCCTTTCTGCTACTTCACCAACTTTACCTTTATGCTCCTTCTGATTCTTTCTGCTCCTTTACCTTTGTGCTCCTTCTGTCCCTTTCTGCTCATTGCAGACCCTTCCTTCTCCTTGCTGAAAGGGGGGGAGGGGAGGGTGTGATAGAATTTATCTTGATTCCAAGGCTCAAGCTTATAGGTGTCATATAAGAATATCCTATATTAAAATTGACTAACTTGGACTCAGGAAATGCTTGATGCTTAAGACCATATATGTCTAGTTCCGGGAGCAGAGAGCCCCCACCTAAGATGTCTCTTCTCTAATCTTTTTGCTCTTTCTTACCTTGGAACTTATTTGTTATGTGTACATGACATTCATCCCTATGTCTTATCTGTACTCTCTTCCTATTACTGTTCTAAGAGTATTTGCACGTAAGCACTTACTTTTTAATGTATAAAACCCAGCTGATGAATAAAATGTCAGAGGCTTATTTTGAATACCAACAGGTGTCTGGTGTCTAATTCTCACTTCTCCAAGTGCACTTGTAATAATAATTTGGGCTTCCTCTGAATATAACAAAGATCATTATTTGGATCCACAACAAGGGTTGTCGCTAATTTGGGTATCCATACCGATTACCCTTTACACTCCTTAACTATTTGCAGACTCTCCCCTCTTCATTCCAGCAAGTCTGTGCACTACCTCTACCATATCCCTTAGAGGTCTGTAGTATACTTGCAGGGGGTTGATCCAGATAGCCCTGAGTTCAGGACCGGCATGGCCGAGTGCTAACCGTATCACCGTTTGTCAACCTCTCCTAACTAGCAGACCTCTCACTTCCTCAATACAGGAGGGGCTAATAGACACTTACTATCTCTAATTCAGATATATTGCACCCTCCTACTTCTAGAGTAAGATCCTTATCATTAATACTGAAATATTACGCTAGTCTTTCACCTTCATTCTAGGACGTTTGATAGTCTCGCTATATTTTCGCTGATTGTGTCCAGACCTGAACCAATACTCACTTCCTGATACCATTGATGGGACTACGTGGGAGGTCTAATATACATTATAGATATCTGAGACCTATCCTAGATTCGAAGGATGATCTAACATTTTGTTCGTTTGTAACTCAGTTTACCCATTAGAAGGTTACTGCAGGGCAGAGTGCGTTCTACAGTAAGTGATAAAAGTGATTTACTATTTAGGTCTCCAGACATTAAAAAGGTAAATTTTCTCTGTACCTTGACAAAAAAGAAAAACACACCTCTTGGCCACAGATGTAAGGAAACTGTTGTCATGGGTATGTTACAGAGGTAATAAGGGTTTAACCCTAATTATACAAATAGACAAAGAATACAATTAATGAGGTCAGGCTGATACTTCCCCTCCTTTTTAACTGATAGTGATTATTACCTTTCACTTTTTGTTGCACCTATTTTGTATGTCAATTTATAATAAAGTTTATTACCTATAAGATGATTTTTTAATTTAGAGGTAATTCCGGTGGGGTACAGCGCCTCCCTTTTTCTGGGGAGCCATCTCACCTCATTAGTTGTTTTCTTACTCTGTACCTTTTTTCAATGCAGCCAGAAGACGGGTCTGGGAAAAAGGAGGAAAGCACAATATCTTGTACAAACAGGTATTCCTAAACCTACAGTGGTAAAATAACTATTTAGGTGCTCGGCTCCCTCTCTTTACATTAAAACGGTGATTTTACTTAGCCTTTTCCAACTCCATCTTTCCATGGCTGATCCTTTTGAGGATCTTAGCCAAACCAATGCTTTCCCATAGAAAAGTACATGGAGGCGCTATTGCACATGTGTGACAAAACGCTGAACTGTGCCAGTCAGCATCTAATCATAGATATGCATTGAATCAGTGCATCTCTCTGGGGAATGTTCAACGCCTCCATGCAGAATGTGGAGACGCTGAATACCAGTGGTGCACACTGTGAAACACTACTCTAGGAAGCACTTCTAGCATTAAGCTGTAGTTGTTCTGGTAACTATAGTGTCCCTTTAATGTGCAATTTAGAGACAACCTTAGGGAGGAATTCTGGAACTGGGCAAATCACTGCCATATCCCCTACGAATTAAGTAAAAGAAGCCTCCGATGATAATGCCTGAATTTCAGACTCTTGGCGGGCATAACTTTAATGGGTAGGTGGATATAGATATTCATATTTATATATATATATATATATTGTTTATTTTTAATATATAAAAAAAAGAGGATTTGTGTATACATTGTCTTAAATTATAATAAAAACAACAACAAAAAAACCAAGGGATTGCTTTTGGAGTCATGCTATGAATTGTTACCATCTTCTTGGGCACTAATGGGAAGGAAGGTTGTTTGGCAAAGATGAATGTGATACATCTATTTCCACTAGCACAATCCCATTGACAGCCTACACAGACTGTGTTTTATAGAGTCATTAGATTGAGTTTACCCCACAGGGTGAAAATATCCAGCTTGCCTGTGGAATCAAGTAGTCGAGAGATTTTGATGAAAAACTAGTTCAAATAAAGACGACACATTATCAATAGTTTTGGCTATTATCTGTTGCCAGATGAACCAAGGCTATTGTAAATAATTGGCCATGGATTGCTTATACAATCTAGCAGATGGCATGTAACAGATTGATCACTTTAACATTATTTTCTTAGACAGCAAGCCTACAATACAGTAGAGCAGAAAACATCACATTATAGTGTAAGGGGCATTTTTAATGCCCTTTAAAAATAGCATTAAAATGTGTCTTTTCTCATCTCCCCTGTGGTGTAAATACTGCAAGATAATAGTGTAAAAGCTGTAGGACATGTTGTCACTTATGTTATTTATTATACAAAATATGAAAACCCAGTTGAACTAAAAATACAGATTTTCCACTAGATTTTCATCTGTATGTAATGTCTTTTGAAAAAAAAAAGTATATTTTTCAAATTAAAGCATTTTAATTAATTGTATCCAGGATAATCTTACAATCCACAGGGTGCATTTCCTCAAGATTTTAATGTTAAGTGAGTGTTTATTTTTCGGAAGCTAATGTTATTTTGAGAAGTATTCACAGTGGGGATGAAATTTTGACTGACATATAGACTTAAGCATATTAACAAATACAGATTAAGACTAGAGTGATATATAGAGGGGCGGAGCCGACTGCCGAGCCGCATGGGAGTGTGCTAGCTGAGCTCCCCCACATCAAAGAGCAAATCCGTCGCCATCAGGCTTAATAATCTAGCATGGGAGACCCTAAACATTCCAACGCTGGCCAGCACTCCTTGGGCAAAACCCCTGCAGGAAAAACTGGTGCCCTGACTAAATATTTTTGGGATACAGCGGAGCAACACCCCAACCCGGTTGGCCTCAATATTGCGCCGGACTCACCTCCCCCGTGCTCCTCACCATCGAGCCCCTTAGGATCTGAAGGCTCAAGACACACTGCCGATACGGATATCAGAGAGCTGATACGGGAATTACCCTCTAGGCACGGCCTTGCCTATATACTGAGTAAACTAGAAGCCTCTTTTCAGACCAAGCTGGACGCAACTGGAGCCAACTTCCAACTCACCAAGCAACAAGTGTGCTCTCTGGAGGATGACAGGGACACATTACAGGCCCAACTAGCAGTTCTGCAAGAGAATGTGAAGATACAAAATGACCACCTCTCCTACATGCAGCGTTCTCTTGACGACCTAGATAACAGAGGGAGACGTAATAACCTAAGGGTGAAGGGCCTGCCCGAACACGACCATGAAAACCTCCAGGCCGTACTGCAAGAGCTATTTAACTTAATTCTAGGCTGACCCACAGACCCACCGGTAGCCTTTGATAGAGCTCACAGAGCCCTGCGACCATGCGGTACATCCTCAGACTCATCCGGGATGTAGTGTGTAGACTGCACTATTACAAATGCAAAAATTATGTACTCGTGGCAGTTCGGCAGTCCCAAAAACCTCTCTTGTTCCATATAGCACCTATTGCAGTTTACCCAGACCTGTCCTGGTTAACACTCCAGGCCCGCAGAGCGTTGAAGCCTACTACCGACCAACTTCGCTCCCGAAATTTAAAATACCGCTGGGGCTTCCCCTTCTCCCTCACATCTACCTACAAAGGTAATACTCACACGATCTCTTCAATCAGGGACGTACCTGTCTTCCTGAGAGACTTTGACCTTCCGGAACTTCAGATACATGACTGGTATGGCCCCATCACACCGCTGACCATGCAGATCATGTCGCAACGGAACCGATGCCAACAAATCCCCAAGAAGAGGAGAACGGACCCAGCAGCGGCTGCAGATGGGGAGCCAACACAGCTCACCATTAATCGCCTACGATCCCTCCTCTACCACTGACCCACCAGTGGTGCTTAACGAGACTCACCATCCCTGCAACCCCGTCAAGTCAATGAAAACTCACCTACCAAGACCCTGGACAACCCCCGCGGCATATATCCATGCATGCCCTTACATCGGAGTATGGGAACTCCTCACAACTGAGCGACAGAACCTCACCCTTAAAGTTTGTTTCAACCGCATGCCATGCAAGTATAGATCTACCCCTCACTCTGGACAGAGGCCTGGTCCCTAGTATAAATGGACCAACCGTTGAGTTCAAAATGGACGTTCAGAGACCACATCAGGGGCAGCAGGGATGGGCAAACAAGCCTGCACCCGAACTCAACCTTTAATACTCGGCCTTCACACGCTCCCATATACTAGTTTTTTATGGTTGTTCTGTGACGGGGGAACTCCTCTACAGGACATTTGGCTATTCCCCCTGATCCCCTCGCTAGGCCTACAACCCCCCGCCCTTCTTCCCACTCCACATCCCGTGAAAAAAAAAAAAAGGGGGATAGATTACATGGATATACTGTGAAATGGAGCATTGCCTGATTTTTGTTTATTATGGAAGATACTGTATGTATGTTATATTATGCATCCGCTACTAAAATGTCACCTCCGAACTGTTAAAATTGCCAAGATGGCAGCTTTTCCTACATTCTGTTCCCATCCTAGGCGGTCACCCATAGGGCCTCCCTCACCTCCCTCAAAAGTTTATCCCACACCCATCCCCCTCTACATACCCACTCAGACGCCCATCCGACCCCCCGAGATTGGGAAGACCGGAACTGGACCTCTATACCACCGAAGTGCCACATGGCTACCCTATGAATCATCACACTTAATGTCTTAATGTTAGGAGCTTGAACTTCCCCAAAAAATGATCCATGACACTCGCTGAACTCCACAAACTAAAGGCTGACATAGCATTCCTACAGGAGACACACTTTAAAAAGAACGCAACCCCAACTCTCCGGAACCAAAGGTTCCCAACCGGATACTTTAGCAATTTTACTGACACCAAAGCACGAGGGGTAGTGATTCTGCTATCAGCCCGAGTACCCTTCACATACTCAGCACACAAGACAGATGACGCAGGTAGATTGCTCCTAGTCAAGGGACAAATAGGATAGACTGCGTAGAGCAAAAAACGTGTCGCAAGAGTATTCTGAGAACGGACAGCAGCTGAAATAGCCTGCCCTTCGGTGGGTCCCTGCTCAGAACTCAAGCTGGTTTTTGCTCATCTTGTGCCATTACAGAGAGAACATATCTGAAGCATATCAGACTGGTCCCACCCATACGGGCAGTTCAGATCCGAAATGCCAGCAAGTTCTCTCTTCATGAGTGATACAGCAACCCCAGACGATCGTTTCAGCCTTGTTAGGCATCATCAGTGAGGCATAGCTTATATCTCTCTAGGCACCGTGAGCAAGGGGTCCACGTCTGGATTACCCTTTGATCTTATGGAGAGCAAAAAACGAGTCGCAAGAGTATTCTGAGAACGTACAGCAGTAGGACCAGTCTGATATGCTTCAGATTTGTTCTCTCTGTAATGGCACAAGATGAGCTAAAACCAGCTTGAGTTCTGAGCGGGGACCCACTGAAGGGCAGGCTATTTCAGCTGCTGTCCATCCTCAGAATACTCTTGCGACCCGTTTTTTGCTCTCCAGGAGCTAACACAAATCACACCTAAAAGATATCATGTAAAAAACACTCTGCAAACATTTTAATTCTCAAAGGGTATAATAATCTTTGGAGGAGATTTCAACCTCTCACTTGACTCAGTAATGGACACGACATCTCACACGAAGCTCTATCAAACATCAGCCCAAAGACGACTGGCAAATATGATGGACCAGGCTCAGCGTTATGATTTAACAGAGAGATAATGGTTCAGCGCTAAATAATCTGTAGAAGCTAAGGACAAATGGGAAAGCAGCAACCTATAATATTGAGGTTCCCTCTCGTACCCTCAAATAAGATAGACAGACAAAAAGATAATATATAGGTGCGCTAAATAAACAAAACGGAATAGAACAAATATGAATAAACGGGAAAAATAATCCCAGTGCTAAAAAGTCTATAGTAAAACCTGTAGAAATGCTTGAATGGGGAGTGAGTCCAATGGATAACTTGGTTTTCTGGTGTTGAAGATATCTCAGTTCGGTAGTAGATATATGGACATATAAGAGAGACAGAGAGACTCCAATAGTGTAGATTGCAAGTCGACAAATTGATAAATAAGAATTTGAACAATCAGATGATCCACTCACCTATTCATGAGCATAAACTAGCTCAAGTGGTTATAGCGTTCAGTGGCGTTGATCCCCCACTGGTAGGATATAGGTGGTGAAGATATGATGAGCTCCTCGGTATATAAAGAGATAAGAAAACGATATAGTGCTCACTGAATTAATGGAAAGGACAATGGGTAAAAGCGATAAAATACTCACATATATATGAGCAGGGTAGACTGCGCAATATAATAGCGTAGGTGGTATTATCCCCACCTAGCATTCTTGAGCAAATGCATATTCCGATGTAGCAGGTACCAGGTATGAAATAAAAGATGAAATAGTAAAAAGGTATATAAAGGCTAATAAAAAGGGCCAATATTCCTTTATTAGTAGTAACAGAATAAATATATATAACAAATGTAAAAACAGCCAAAACGCGTTTCGCCTCACAGGGCTTTCTCAACTGGCAATAAAAAAAGAGACAACCTGGTACATAGATGCTTTTATAAACTATCTGAGCATATGCAAATTCAAAATTTGGCACCAAAATGACGTCATCATTAAAATACAAAAATACAAAAGGAATATACAAATTTAGAAGATATTCATAATATAATAATCTGAGAGTAATCCAAACGTTTGGTATAAATCATTGTTAAAAACAAGCAGTATATAAGATAAATGATAAAATAGATAGAATTAATTAAATCACGTGATCGCGCCCTCGTGCGGTCACGTGGTGAGGCTGGGGGAACTATGGGAAGTGCATGCTGAACGTCAGAATGCTAGACGTCAGCATACTAAGCAAAAAGTAATAGTGATCATGAGCTACCGCGACCACGTGGTAGAGCTGAGAAGAGCTATGGGAAATGTATGCTGAGATCAGCATACTAAACGTCAGCATAGTAGGCGGATAAAAGTAACGACCACATGATCGCTAGCGTCCGCGACCACGTGGTATAACACATTGAACTATGGGAAATGTATGCTGGGCCAGGGATCGGCGCAAACATACACGCCCTGTAGGGGACATTCCACTGAATCTAATATCACAATATTTACAATAAAAATTAGTTGCATTCCACTAAATATAATAAAATATAATATATAATAAAAAAATTATAAGAACCATATAAAAGCACAATAAAAATTTTTTACTTTTTTCTTTTGAAAAATATTATGTATATGTGAACCTTATAATTGTATTATAAAAAATTAAAAAGATCAAAATCTGCATTTAAGCCATTAGGACAGAGGGTTTTTAATTGGAAAACCCAATTCATTTCTCTTTTTCCTAAGGTTTTTTTCATGTCACTGCCTCTCCAGGGCATAATAACTTGTTCTATCCCAATGACTTTTAAGAATCTAGGGTCTTTATTATGTACTAAAAAATGTTTGGAAACTGAATGATTGTCATAACCTCTTTTGATGTTGCGACAATGTTCAGCTATTCTAATTTTTAGGCTTCTAGTTGTCATGCCTATATATTGGAGTCCACATGGACATTCTAATAAATATATAACATTCTTAGTGTTGCACCCAATAAAATCTTTAATTGAATATGATACCTTTGTAATAGTAGAGGAAAAATGAGTTGTTTTAGTGTTAATGGCTGAGTTTGTAGACTTGCATACAATACATTTATTACATTTAAAAAAACCTTTTGGTTTAGACATAAAATTTTCTCTTTGTGGAATGGTTGTTTTGGTATAATTTTTTGTAAGGATTGTTTTAAAATTTGGGGCCCCTCTGAATATTATGTTAGGCCTATCTGGAATGTAGTCTTTTAAAAGATCATCTAGTTTTAAAATATGCCAATGCTTATTGATAATTTTTTTTTTAACTTTTGTTTTTGCTGTTAAAATCTAAAATGATAGGTAATTTTGGAGGATCTTCTTTTTTATCTTTATATACCAGGAGGTCCTTTCTCTCCTTTAATTTTACTTCCTCTAAAGCTACATTTAGTTTGTCAGGTTGGTAATTTTTTTCTAAAAACTTATTATTTAGCGAAATAGATTGAGCGTCAAAATCTTTTATTAAAGAACAGTTACGGTGGAGGCGAATGAATTGACTTTTTGGAATGCCATCCGACCAAGGTTTATAATGACAGCTAGTGTGGTCTATTATAGTATTAGTACATACTTCTTTAAAAAAGGTCTTTGTTTGAATATTTCCATCTTGAATAAAAATATTGAGGTCTAAAAAAATTGATAGATACATTACTAAAAACTGAAGATAAAATTACTCACTCCCCATTCAAGCATTTCTACAGGTTTTACTATAGACTTTTTAGCACTGGGATTATTTTTCCTGTTTATTCATATTTGTTCTATTCCGTTTTGTTTATTTAGCGCACCTATATATTATCTTTTTGTCAGCTTTATGATTGCTGGTGCACTACTCACCCATCAGACAGGGACTTCTCTTTCTTCTCACCAGCCACACAAACTTACTCCAGACTAGATATGTTCTTCGTACCACACAGATTCCTCCACCTGGTACAATCCAGTGACTATGGCCCAATTACATATTAAATAATTTTGCCGTACAAATACCCACACTCAACTCAATGACCTGCTACTTAACGACCCCAACATAGTCGGCCAACTACGATAATCCCTACACCACTACTTTACTGATAATGCAACGCCTTCCACACCTCCACCCCTCATATGGGAAGCACACAAGTGCGTACTCAGGAGTGAAATAAGTGCCACAGTATTAAGACACAAAAAAATCAGAGAAGCTCAAATCCACTCTCTCACGACTGAAATTATGGACCTTGAGAATCTGCACAAACATGATACCAGACTGAGCACATACCATGCTAAACACGTGGCCTTGCGAGACTTGCTGAATGCCAAAATTAAACACACCCTCTTGTGCACTAAACACACCTACTATTCCCAGAGGGGTAAATGCGGTTGCCTGCAGGCAAGTT